GCAATGCACTTTTGCCACGTGGCAGTACAAGCTGGTCGATGACTCGATGATTTGGACCTTGTGCCACGTGGCAGATACGGAATTGGTCGATTAATTGGCCGATCTTTAAGTACAGCCACATGCAAGTACGAGGATTGATCGATTCGGAGCCGAGCTTGCGTTTTTGCCACGTGGCAGTACAAGCTGGTCGATAGACGTGTCGATGGTGAACGTGCGCTTTTGCCACGTGGCAGGTACAGAACTGGTTGGTCGGGTAACTCGATCTGGTTCTTCTGCCACTGAGTCGGTTTGCATTGGTTGAGGATTGCGTGACTTGATCTGGGCCTTGTGTGCCACTTGGCAGGTACAAGATTGATCGTTAATCGCAAGCTTGTGCCACGTGGCACGTACAAGATTGGTCGATCGGCGAGTCGTTGTGACCTTGAGTCGGTTTGCATCGGTCGAGGATTTCGTGACTTGATCTGGACCTTGTGTGCCACTTGGCAGGTACAAGATTAGTCATTAATTGCAANCGGTTTGCATCGGTCGAGGATTTCGTGACTTGATCTGGACCTTGTGTGCCACTTGGCAGGTACAAGATTAGTCATTAATTGCAACCTTGTGCCACTTGGCACGTACAAGATTGGTCGATCGGTGATTCGGTGTGAACCGTGTGCCACGTGGAAGTCACGAGATTGTTCGATTACTGGGTCGGGATCTCGGATTACCACCACGGCGTGTCATGTGCGACACGGATTACGAGTCACAACAAGTCACACATGACACATAAGTCTATCTTGAAAACATGTGTCATGTGTGACATGTTGTGCCGCGATGTGGATCCTGAGCAAGCTGGCGAGTACGGGATTGTTCGATTAAAGGGTCGGGATCTCGGATTACCACCACGAAGACAAGTACAAGGATGATCGACTGATACGTCGACGCTGGACTTTGTACATCGTGGGCCACGTGGTGGGTAGCAGATAAGATATTGTTCGATTATTGGTTTCGATCTCAAATGATGAGCCGATCTTGTACTTTTCCACGTCACACGAACAAGGTTTGGTCAAATTTAGGCGCCGAACTTCGACTTTGTCAATCTTCGACATTCTGCCACGTGGCAAGAAGAAGATTTGATTGATCGATGGAGGAGCTGATGTTGGACTTCGCAACGCGGTCGGTCGATTCATGAGTCAATTCTCTAGATTTGATCGATTGACGTGCCGATCTTGCACTTTTCCACGTCGCACGAACAATAATACTGTATTTGACTAGGCTACCAGCCGGGCCGCCCGGGTCCCTGGTGGCCAGCCCGTGCAAGGACCAGGGAAGGTCCCAGCAAAAAAAAAAAATAAAAAAAAAATCTGAAAAAAACTATGTTATGCAGAAAAATAAACAAAACAACTTTTGCCTCATCGTCACATCGAAATTCTTCGCCAAATTTGGAATAAAAAAAAACAAGATAAAAATATATTTATATTTTTTAGTTTTTTTAATTTTGTTGGCCCGGCCGGGCAAGTGAGCCCGGGCCAGTCTGGTAGCCTGGGTATTTGATCATTTGAGGAGTCGATCTTAGAATTTGCCACGTCAGGTGTGCTAGATTGGTCGACTCATCAGTCGATCTTTGGACGTTGCCACGTGGCAAGAACAGGATTTGATCGATGGGTGGACCGGATGTTGGACTTTGCTGCCACGTGACAGATTTTTACGAGCTGATATTGCACTTTTTTTCCACGTCACACGGACAGATATATTTGATCAATTGAGGAGCTGACTTTGACCAATCTTAGGCTTTGCCACGTGATTGGTCGATGGGTCAGTCGATCTTTGGGCTTTGCAACGTGGCAAAAATAGATTTGATATATGGAGGAGCAAATGTGGGAGGGACTTTCCCACGTGGCAGGTACGGGACTCGTCGATTGATGAGTCGATCTTGGCTTTGACTCATTGGACAGGTTCAAGATTGCTCGATTGATGTGATTCGATCCTTGGCCTTTCTCTCTTTTCTGTTTGAACATTCTTTGCCACGTGTCAACTCTGACAGTTTTTTTTTTTTTTTTTTAACTATTTTTTTTTCATCTCTGACAAGTTTGTCTCTGAATAGTTTGCATGCGTCTGTGTGCCATTGAGCCACACAGGCGAGGGGAAAAGAAAAACGAATAAAAATTCATAATAATATAATATATTAATATCAACAATCGGTTCCATACACTAATACAAGCAGCCTTTGGTCATCATAGTCAAATCTGAAGTCCATGTCAACCAATTTCCTATTTTCAGGGGGACGCTGAACGCCCTTTCCAGCAGCTGGTGCTGCCCCCCACCAGTAGATGGAGCCTATCCGGGGTTCCTACTGGTGTCTGCTCAGATCAGCACCCCTAGCATTAACTCTGGTTGTAAAAAAAAAAAAAAAAAAAAAAAAAAAAAAAAAAACTAATAGAAAAAAAAAAAAGAGGGGTGTTCCTTTTCTTCTTCAGCTTCGGTCTAAGGCT